TTTTTTCTATTCCTTTTGTGTTGGGTGTTTTGTTTGCTCTTGATGAAAGGGTCTTGATTTTGTCAAATGCTTTTCTTAATCTATTCAGGTAATTGTATGATTTTTATTCTTTATTCCATTAATATGTATATTACATGAATGGATTATCAGATGTTAAACCAGCCTTACATTCTTTGGATAATCACCACTTGTTCATGGTGTACAATCCTTTTTATGTGTCACAGGATTTCATTTGCTAGTATTTAGTTGAGGATTTTTGCATTCATATTCATAAGAAATATCAGTCTGCATTTTTCTTTTCTTGTGATGTCTTTTTCTGGTTTTGTTATCAGGGTCATGCTGGCCTCATAAAATGATTTGGGAAGTGGTCCCTCCTTTTCTATTTTGGACTTTGTGAAGAATTGATATTAATCCTTCTTCAAATGTTTCATAGAATTCAGTGACGCCAGATAGGCTTGGGCATTCCTTTGCTCTAAGTTTTTAAATTATTAATTCAATTTACTTGCCTTGTTATAGGTCTGTTCAGATCATCTATCTCCTCTTGAGATCGTTTTCATAGTGTGTCTTTCTAAGAATTTGTCTATTTTATCTAAGTTATCTAATTTGTTGTCACAGAGTTGTCCATAATCCATTATGGGTTTCCTAAGACTACTCTTAAATCTACAAAATCTACACACAAAATATTAAAAACAACTTAAGTATAGAATTGATGTTGGACAGGCTAGGATGAAGAAATGATAGGTTTAAAACTTTATTCAATAAACCTTCTGTGGTTTCCTGTAGGTCAATTTGGCCTTTTTTTTGGTGACACTCTGGATTTTGAAAAGCAAACTCTCTTCTCTCAACAGCGATGTGTCCACCCTCCAGAACACAAGGTAAGATGGAGAAGAGGGTGACAACCCCAAAGACACGAATCATTCCCAAGAGGTAAGCCACGTGCCTTAACAGCCTCTGACGTCCCTTCTCAGAGTCTTCTGAGATAACCCAGAATAAACACATGCAGCCATCCTTCCGTGGCAGTCAGCACAGATTCGGGGTCTGTCCTTGACACCCCAGATGAAATGTTCTCTCCATCTCTAATCTCAGCTTGTGCTTCCCTCAGCAACAAAGAGAATTGACATAGTTTGGCCAACATTACGTGGACTTTCGCCAGCAGTCCTGTGACAAATGTGCAAAGAATAGTGATGTTTTCATGATGCATTTAGAAATGCATATGACCATATCCATAACCCAGCCTGCACTTTCATACCCCACCCTCCATTCTGGCTCCTTCCCACCCCCATCCATTCCTCCCTCTGGAAAAATCCTAGTCAACGTCAAATCCTCTATGAGGTTTGGGCAGTCCTTTGCCCCAGGCACCCTTCTGTAAAATTAAAGTTCTTTCTTCTAAATTCCTGTCATTAACCTTTCCAAATTTTGCACATCATTATTTGGTCGTATGAAGGACCTTCAAAAGGTTCATGAAAATATTTGTATTATCTTTCGATTTCATTTTCTATGAACTTTTAAAAGCATTTTCATATCAGTTATTTGAATAGACTGTGAGCCTCATGAAAACCGAAATCTTGTCTGTTATTTTGAATGCCCAGGATCCAGCACTGAGCCAGGTGCACAGTACATCCTCAGTAATGCTGGTTGAATGAAATTAGAGATCTTCATGAAACATCATAAAACTTTTGAAACTTCCATTATGAAGTGTCACTGACCATGTGATGTTGTATTAGTTTCCTGAGCCTATCATAACAGATCAACACAAATTTGTTGGTATAAAATATTAAAAATTTATTCTCTCACAGTTGTGGAGGATAGAAGTCCAAAATCAAGGTACTGGCAGGTCTGCAATCTCCCTAAATACTCCAGGAGAGAATTCATGTATGCATCTTCGAGCTTCTGGTTGTTCCAGGCATTTCCTCAGCTGGGAGCTGTATAACTCCTGTCTCTGCCTCTGTCTTCTGATGGCCTCCACACTGTGTCTCTGAAATCGCCTTCTCCTTTCTCTTCTCAGACATTGGAATTAAGACCCACTCTAAATCCAGAATGATCTCATATCGATATCCTTAATTCAATTACATCTGCAACAAACCCTATAATTTCCCCAGAGAATCCTTCTTATCCATCCTAATCCCATAGATCCAACACTAAGTCACACCCAGTGATTTGCTCTCATATCCTTCTGTTTCTGTTTTATTGTCACAATGTGTCTTACTCTGTATGTCCCCTCTGAGATCAGCTTTGTGAGATCTAAGACCATGTTGACTTTTTCACCACTGTATCTTCAGGGCCAACCACAGAGCCTATCACAGAAGAGACATTCAATACTTGATGAATAAATGAAGGAAGGAAGGAGGGAGGGAATGGATTTACATAACTGTTCTTAATCTGCAAGGACCAACACACTTTTTATTCTTTCTCTTGTTCAGCTGCTGGCTCCACGCAGAAAAGGGATTTCTATGGGGCTTCCTTGGGCCCGTCTGCAGCATCTTCTCTGTGAGTGATGTCATCAGAGCATCCTGACCGCTCAGCTGAGGGTCATTAGGATCACACAGATGGTGAAAGAACAGGGATGTCCTTGGGTGGTTGTGAGTTGGGTTGGGTTTCCTAAGACTACTCTTAAATCTACAAAATCTACACACAAAATATTAAAAACAACTTAAGTATAAAATTGATTTTGGACAGGCTAGGATGAAGAGATAACAACTTAAGTATAGAATTGATGTTGGACAGGCTAGGATGAAGAAATGATAGGTTTAAAACTTTATTCAATAAACCTTCTGTGGTTTCCTGTAGGTCAATTTGGCCTTTTTTTTGATGACACTCTGGATTTTGAAAAGCAAACTCTCTTCTCTCAACAGCGATGTGTCCACCCTCCAGAACACAAGGTAAGATGGAGAAGAGGGTGACAACCCCAAAGACACGAATCATTCCCAAGAGGTAAGCCACGTGCCTTAACAGCCTCTGACGTCCCTTCTCAGAGTCTTCTGAGATAACCCAGAATAAACACATGCAGCCATCCTTCCGTGGCAGTCAGCACAGATTCGGGGTCTGTCCTTGACACCCCAGATGAAATGTTCTCTCCATCTCTAATCTCAGCTTGTGCTTCCCTCAGCAACAAAGAGAATTGACATAGTTTGGCCAACATTACGTGGACTTTCGCCAGCAGTCCTGTGACAAATGTGCAAAGAATAGTGATGTTTTCATGATGCATTTAGAAATGCATATGACCATATCCATAACCCAGCCTGCACTTTCATACCCCACCCTCCATTCTGGCTCCTTCCCACCCCCATCCATTCCTCCCTCTGGAAAAATCCTAGTCAACGTCAAATCCTCTATGAGGTTTGGGCAGTCCTTTGCCCCAGGCACCCTTCTGTAAAATTAAAGTTCTTTCTTCTAAATTCCTGTCATTAACCTTTCCAAATTTTGCACATCATTATTTGGTCGTATGAAGGACCTTCAAAAGGTTCATGAAAATATTTGTATTATCTTTCGATTTCATTTTCTATGAACTTTTAAAAGCATTTTCATATCAGTTATTTGAATAGACTGTGAGCCTCATGAAAACCGAAATCTTGTCTGTTATTTTGAATGCCCAGGATCCAGCACTGAGCCAGGTGCACAGTACATCCTCAGTAATGCTGGTTGAATGAAATTAGAGATCTTCATGAAACATCATAAAACTTTTGAAACTTCCATTATGAAGTGTCACTGCCCTCCTAGGTCCAAGTCAAAATGCAATCCTGGATGCAAGTGGCATTTCTATTGTGTGATATCATTGACAGTATTGATCTAAGTTGATCACAATTCAGCCTGAGAAATCAACTACAGGGGAGGTAAAGAGGGACACCCATGGGTAGAGATGACAATAGCCTTGATGTTCTTCCTCTGGGTGTATCATGGTCTTTCATTCTCTTTCTACCCAGGATGCTGACATTTAAAGCAATAGCTCAGCTCCTCATCTTGGGCTGCATGTGGTGTCTGGGCATCCTGCTGGGGGGTCTAGCGGTCCAGGTCATGGCCTATCTCTTCACCATCATCAACACCATGCAGGGCGTCTTCATCTTCCTGGTGTACTGCCTTCTCAGCCAGCAGGTACCACTGCCCAGCTTCACCCAGAACACTTCCCATCCTCTCCCCTCTCCAAGAGCTGACTCAGAGTATACTTTGCCGCTGCAGGTCTGGGAGCGATATGGAAAATGGTTCAAAAGAATCAGGACATTAAGAGCTGAGTCTGAGATGTATACGCTCTCCAGCAGGGCTGAGTCTGATGCCTCCAAACCCACCATGGTAAGATCACGCCTTGCTGCCAGACACTTCACTAACCAATCCACCTGAGCAGCATGTGCCTATCACACTGGACATCCTGGGTATACAGCAGGTGATGCCCTAGGATGGAGCACATTTGCATGACTCTTTGACTCATTAGCTATTAGCAATGGCCTCAGTTCAAATGTTTGTTTAAATAAATCCTTTGCTCTTCCTCTTTAGGGAACTGGACTCATCTTGACTCTTGCACATGAACGCTCTTATTGACCACCCACTACGTGCCATGCCTGGTTGACTAAATAAGCAAGAATCAATGACCTGAAGCCGTGACGCCCATTCTGCTCAGAAGCACATTTTCCTATCTTTTGCCTCTGCACACAACTCCATCTCACAGTCTTCAGCACCACCACCCAACAAGGACAAAC